TTAGGTGTAGTTTATATAACAATCGTAGCAAAGAATTTTATGTGAATAATAAAAAGTTTTGCTAGTAGAAACTTTAAACTGTCCAGAATACCCTCATCTCCCTTATATTTTATAATTTACAAATGTTTTTATAATAAAATAAATGTTGTTAAATAGCTGATTATCAAAATTTCTTTATATAAACAAAGATTATTATTTTTTTAACTTTATTTATATTACAACAAATATATATGATAAACTTTGTTAAACTTTTTTTTGACAAATATTTTTAATACTTTTTTAAAACTTTTATTTGCTTTATTTTATACAACTTTTCAAAAATAATTTAATTATAAAAAACTTGTATACTTTATAGCCAAAAAAAAATTTTTTATTAAAGGGATTATTAAATTTGCACACTGTGCATAGCTGTGCATAGGTCTTGTACTATGTAATGATCGTCAATCGTGATACAAATATGTGTCATAGTAAAAATAAATGCTGATTTATAGTAAAAATAAATGCCGATATAATGTAGTTGTAAATCTATATAAATAGAGAAAGAAAATAATAAAATCATCCTTTTACCTATTAGTTAGTATATGAAATAAATCGAATTAAACACCGAGTGAATAATGTAAAAATAAATACTTATTAAACAGTATGCAGCTTTGAAACATTATTGTATCACATATAATTTTGGAATTTAAATACCATATAACTTTGCACTTACTTTCTATACAACGTCTCTCTAATAAACGTATAACAAAGAAATTTAAAAAGACAGCTAATTATTTTAAACCAATGTCACTACAAAGAGATCAGAATATTGGCTTTAATGCATTATCTGTATGTGATATTGGGAAATTTTATATATTACTACATGACCTTGTATTTACTTTTTTCATGTAACATATATCGCATCAACATATAAATGTAATTTGAATAGATGACTAATTATTTTGAACCAACATCGTTACAAAGAGATCAGACTATTGACTTTAATGGGTTACCTGTATGTAGCCTTGGGAAATTTATGTTCTATTATGCATAGTTTTGGAATTTTAAATAACCATGCTTTTACTTTTTTCCAAGCAATTTGTTTCCAATCAACATATCATGATGGAATTCGAAAAAATAGCTGATTATTTTGAAGCAACATCATTACAAAGAGAAGAGCAAAACATTAACTTTTATGAGTTACCTGTATGTTGCTTTAAGAAATTTATGTTTTATCATTATAGTTTTGGGAGTTTAATAACCATGTGATTTCGCACTTACTTTACTAAGCAATTCGTTTCTAATTAATGTCTTGTAGTTGAATTTGAGAAAGCAGCTGATTATTTTGAAGCAACCTCGTTACAAAAAATCAAAATATTGACATTGATGAGTTACCTGTATATTGTTTTGAAAATTTATGTTTTATCACTATAGTTTTGGGATTTTAATAACAATGTAATTACTCACTTACTTTTACCAAGCAATTTGTTCCAAATCAACGTATAATAATGGAATTTGAGAAGATACCTGATTGTTTTAAACCAACAACATCACAAAGAGAAGATCAGAATATTGGCTTTGATAAGTTATCTGTAAATTGTTTTGAAAAATTTATATTTATCGCTATAGTCTTGGAATTTTAAATAACCACGTGATTTCTCACTTATTTTTATCAAGCAATTTATTTCAAATCAACATATAACAATAGAATTTGAGAAAATATCTAATTGTGTTAAACCAAAATTGTTACAAAAAAAAGATCAGGATATCGACTTTAATAAGTTACCATAAGTGACTTTGAGAAATTTATATTTTATCGCTATCCCTTAAACTGTAAAGTTTGTATAACAATTTTAGCTTAAAAATAGCATAAATTTAGTTATGATCTATTTTTTTTAATATTTAAAATATTTA